CCATGTTGGAATTTGAATTTTTTTTTTTTTTTTTGCAAATTATTAACATGACTTGTTTAGTTACATCAAGAAATGTATTCATAAAACATGTTTCCGTGGTAGTTTGTGCACAATTTCTTTCTGAATAAAAAATGTATCCACCTCAAGCAGCTGTCTGTTTTTATGTGCATTTTTGTGCATCTTGGTGTTTCCATCCAACTGTTTATTGCTAGAAAGCTGTATAAGACACGAAAGATGCTTTCACATGTCACATGTATGTGCACTGTATCATCAGCATACTCTCAACTCTAGTATATTTGTGGCAACGTTAGTAAGCAGCTTTTTCTTGCCAGCTGATGAACATTAAAAACATGCATATCTGCAGTGCACGCTTATAATAAACAGAACATATTCATGGGTATTGTTATTATAGTATTGAGTAGATATAAATCTTTCTTAAAATGATAGTGTTACAATAAATCCTTATTTGTTGGCATGTTACTTGCCAATTTTCTAGTTTTTGCCTCATTTACAAAGTTGTTGGGCATGGTCATGTCTCTCACCGGGGGAGCGTGTTTTATATTTTCTGAATGTGATTTTTGCCTGAATCTGTTTTCTGCATCATAGTGTAGAAAACAACTTGGGTTTTACTGTAATAACGGGATGCAATAATACACTTTTATTTCCTTTAGTAGTTAAAGATTGTAAAAATGGAATTTACCTTTATGCAACAATTGGTTAATTTAGAATTGTTCATAATGTTTGTAATTATAAAAAAAAAAAGAAAAGTGCTTTCAAAAATGAGTGATGCACAATACCCTTAATAATACATTGCTTTGCCTCTTGTCTCTTCAGAAGATTCCTCTGGGAATGGCGTCGTCTCGGCAAAAATGGAATATCAGAGAACAGATCTCTTTCAGCTTCAAAAGGCAAAGTATTCGCTGTTGTCTTAAATAATCTGGAATTTGTTTACCACTAACATGTTGTTTTACATTTATGTAGTAAGTGAGTGAAAATTATATAAATATTTTGAGAGTGTTGGGAGCCTATTTCAATTATGTCATTTGCGGTGCTTCATGGGAGTGGGTGGAGCTAAAAAGTGCTTTTGGTATATTGCTTGTTTCAGCTTTGTGATTGGTGGAATTTTCTGTACAGCATCATTAGTAATGTAGCTTTTCACCACAAATTCCTCTATTAATGACAATTATATTAATATTGATGTTGGTTTGTTTTTATAATCACTGTAGCACCTCTGGTTAAGGCTGAAATTAGCAAGTGTATAATTTCTAGTGTTTTAAAATCTGATCAGTTCTTATCTTTTATTTCATCATTGGAAAATAATTATATTAATGATGATTATATAAACAACAGCTGTACCTAGTAATGTAAAACTAGTAATGTAATTGAACTAGCTGGAAGATCTACTAACCAGACATGTCTAGCAGCAACAAGCCAGCAATGCCTAGCAAGATACTTGCGTTGCCTTCAGTAATACATTTTACACTGGATGTGGCACAATGTGTCGCAGTCACAGACAGTAAATAGATGCCTCATTATTTCTGACTTACTCCATGCAATGGTTCTACGTTCACACACTTTGACACATCTAATATAGACTGCCTTAAATAGCAACACAACATGGTATTGAAATTTTTATCAAGAATTTACTAGTATATGTACCGACTACTGAAATTGTTTGTATTTTGACAACACTTAAGTTGTAGATTATCAGACCATACAACTGAAGTACTCTGGTTTCAGCTTTGGAAAAATAGCATTGGTGGATTTAAAATGAACTACTGCCATGATTTTGTGTGCAGACTCTGCTTGAAAAAGAGTCTCGAAGAACAAAGAGAATGAATTCATTCGAAGTGCTTCGAAGCCAGGTGATAGACTTTATTGACAGCCTTGTGAGGTAAGTATAGACAATACTATGAGCAAGGTGTGCTTAAATACTTGCTTCTCTCACAAAATCCTTTATGCAGTATAAAATGTGTGGGTCTCTCTTCAGAGAATACTTGACACCAGCAGAATTCCAGCCACTCAATGAAGTGTGCTACTACAGTTCCTCTGGGGTCCTGAGACAGCGACTCAATGTCACCCTACGAACATCCATTCAAGCTGCTCTCAGTCATCCTTTCTACTACTTGAAGGTAACTGACCACTCATTTTGACTAACCAGGGTATTCAATTAAGGTATTCAATTAAAATTCAAAGAGACAAAGTATATACATTTTCTTCACTGTTTCATATGTTGCATTGCAGAGCTTCCCAAACTCAAGCATAAAGCCCCCACAAAAAGTCAGCAAAAGCTCTTTTTGTGAACAGCTCCTTATGGATTAGATTTTTAGCTGAATAGACATTAATTTAAGGCTAAGGTAGATTCAACACTCATCACATTTCTGTGGGTATTGTGAAGACACATGCAGCCCAGAACTGCTTTTCAGGGACAAATTCAGTCTAAATTGTGATCTTTTGCTCACCCTTATGTGGTTTCAAAACTTTATTTCTTTTTTTTTTGTGTGTGTTACACAAGAAGACATTTTGAAGAATGTTTAAAACCAAATAATATTTGAGCTCACTGTCATTTTTTCAAAATATTATTGTTACTGTAGTGTTAACAGTGGTCATTTTAGCTAGGCTAAAATCAGCCAAATGTATTAAACATTATAAACCCGTCTTTTTAGGCAAGAACCAGGGTGTCATGTAGGCTAAAAATTTTTTTAATGGGACTGAATTTTTATTTAACATGATTACAATTTAATAAAAAACGTTAAAAATTGATAATTATATAACGTTTCCTTTCCACTGTTATTCAAACAGCGAATTAATTATATATAGAAAGTGACATTATCACTAACATTGATCTATCATGAGTTTAAGCACTCTCAAAAAAAAAAAACGATCGTTATAATCACTGAAGCTGTATACACTGTTTAATGAATCTGCGCTTTGTTGTTTATGATAAGAGAATTCACAAGAATTCAGTCAGCGAACGCACGCACACTCAACAAAACTGATGAGTTTGAACGATGACTCATCTGAACGCTTCTGATTGGCCATTGCATTCCTAAGCTCAACAGATATGTGTGGGATTGGTTAAAATGCGCAACACTGTAAAAACGCCTAAAATGAAATACGGTGCAACATGAGCAGATCTTGTTCTGAGATTCCTGTCAGAATGATGTAGTTCTGTACAGGACCCTCCCACGATAGTTGATTGACAGTAGTGTTTCAGCCTGGACTGGTGTCTTACCTTAGACCCACCCTGAGTGAGCTGTCGTCAGTCCGCCATTATTTCACCGCTGGAGCAGATGTAGACAAGAATGACTCCTAAGTGATTGAGGTGTTCTGTTGTTGGATGTAATAATGAACATAGCAGTCGCCATTTACTCCCGACATCTGAGCCGCTGAACTCGCATTGGATTACTTTGTTTCTGAAGGGAATGCGCCCCCGATCTACATAAATGTTTACGCGAATCATTCATGATCCAGCCTCATCTACAGAAGAAGTGAGTATAATGTTTTGTAATGAATCTTTACAAATCGCCTTACCTAATAATGTGCTAATTAGCAAGTTTCACGATGAATGTGGCTAAAGTAAACAGTCTCTCTGAGAGCAGCTCGGAAGAGAGGGGCGGGGTCAGCAGAGCTCATTAACATCTAAAGTAAAATGCTACAAAAACGGCTTGATCTGAAAATAACCATTTTTGACAGGGTAAAAAATGTGTTTTTTACACTACCATTGAAAAATTTTAATTAAACTATGTTACAGACTTTTCATTAAGACCCTAAAGAATCATATGAACTTGTGGAAAATGGGCATCCTATGACCCCTTTAATGCCGCAATCGACACTGTCTATTCATATTCACTTTGTTAGCAACAGATGAAATAGATTTAATTTGTTTGTGCTGGAGCATTTTTGTCCAATTTAGTGGCATTTTTGCCACAAATCCCCATGGCCAGCCTTACACACACTCCGCCTATGCTTGTAATCTTGGTGGATGGCATCTGTGTTACCTTATAAAATATAAAAATATATTTAAAATATAAAAGTCTAAAAAGTGTAGAAATCAGTTTTGTCAGATATATTTGTCTTCTCTGTGACAGTTTGCCAGCCTCAGTTGCCCCAATGGAAAGCATATTTACACTATTTTTGTCCGAATTGCTCCGTTTACCTATATAATGCACTCGGATTAAAGTTCCGTCGCTACAACGGATTTCCGTCAGTTCATAAAGACAGTCACTTGCTTCATTCCTGAATGATTCAGCCGTTCGAACGAATCAATTGAATGAATGATTCAGTGATAAAATCAGTGACTTGCCGCCGCCTGCTGGTGGATTTAGTTAAATTTTTAGTGTATAATTTCAGTTATTTGAATCATATTTCTGTATTCAAAATGTTATATTTAAAACATTAATCTCCACATTAATTTATGAATTTAATTGCACTCATGCCACCTCTGAGCCTCATTAAACGTCTGAAAATGTCAAATTAATTAATACTAATTTCATATGATTGGTAACTTATTTGTCTTATTCTACATATTGTTTTAAATAGAAATTTTAACAAGATTATGAACAAATGTTTGAATTCGACATGTAATGATGCCATTACAAAGGTAAAAAGAAAATACTCCTGTAAGTCACTTAGAGTCAAATGTCACCTCGTATTAGGAAGGCTAATTTTTGATTATTGATCAGAAGGCGCTCCTAATTGCAAGAAGAAAAAAACTGCTCTTAAACTGGGTGTGTGACAGGTATGGCTGAGGACTGGGGTTTGGTCGAAGAAAATTCAGTCAAAAGATTTTTTTTTTTGCTTTCAAGAAGAAAAAAACTGCTCTTAAACTGGGTGTGTGACAGGTATGGCTGAGGACTGGGGTTTGGTCGAAGAAAATTCAGTCAAAAGATTTTTTTTTTTTCTTTAACCCCTGCAATATAATAAGAAGTAGAATAACACAAATAAGTTACCAATCATATGACATTAGTATTAATTAATTTGTACTACAGAGGTGGCACAGAAGCACAAAAAAGTGGCTTGTAGGTACATTTTCAAACGTTTAATGAGGCTCAGAGGTAGCACGAGTGCAATTAAATTCATAAATTCATATGGAGATTAATGTTTTAAATATACAATTTTGAATACAGAAATATGATTTAAATAACTGAAATTATATGCTAAAAATGAAATTAAATCCTCCAGCAGGTGGCGGCAAGTCACTGATTTTATCACAATCATTCATCTAATTGATTCGTTCGAACGGCTGAATCATTCAGGAATGAAGCAAATCACTGTCTTTATGAACTGACGGAAATCACGGAACTTTAATCCCTGTGCACTTTGTGCCATTCACTATATGGAGAATAGTAAATGTGTGAACAAGTGATCGTTTTCAGATGAAGCTTTAGCATCTTTTTGTAATGTAAGGGTCGAGACGCTTCAGATACTAGAGAGCATTTCACTGGGCAGAAAATCTGATGAGAAACTGAAGTGCAGAATGCTGTCAGCAAAGTTTCTGATCTGTATTGGTGGTAGAGAGAGACTAAATTTTGAACACGCATACTTTATAAATGTGAATTGTGTCATTGTTTAGGGGCTCATTAGCTTATAGATAACCTTACGGGCAACATACTTTCAAACTTCAATTTTGATTTAATGGGGGACTTGAAAAAACATATTGAGTGATGTCTTTCGAAATCTGCCCAAATCCATGTATTAAAGAGAACGTTTAAAATAATAATAATTCATTTAAAATCATTTACTCACCCTTGTTTAATTTCAAACCATGGTTGACTTTTTACTGTGGAACATGAAGAAAATTGAGAAACATTTGAAGAACATTTTGAGAAAAATTCTGTTTTTTTATTTATTTTTTGTCCATGCAATGAAAGTATTATTTGGTGCCCAACATTCCTCATATACAGTATAGTGGTTTATTAGTTTTCTTACTCTTGTTTTTGCTGCAGAATGCAAGCCTGAAAACAGATGCTGGCACAATCTCCAGTGCTGCACCAGACCTCTGCATTGTATACAAGCTTCATCTTGAGTGTGGAAGACTCATAAATCTGTATGACTGGCTTGAGGTACAAACATGCTAAATCAAAATCACATGTAGAGGTGGGTTATCTTTTTCTAACACTGTGGATGGAACCTGTCATTGTGTTTGACATTTTCAGGCATATGTAACGGTGATGTCAGCTGCGGAGGACCAAGATACTGATTCTGAGGAGTGTGGCCAATATGACAGCCTTAAGCAGAATCCTTTTTGACATTTTGCTTGTTCTATTTTAGTGATGAAAGTGTGTTCCTTAATTTAATACATTTTTTACTTTTTTAACATGTTTAGCTTTTGACTCATAAATGTACAAGTTGTTAATTGTACACAGTTACTTGTATATTAAAGTTGTCTATAAAAATATATTTCTAATGTATTGTTCTTAACACTGACAGTGCTCGTTTCATTCAGGCTGTTTCTGAGATGGAATTTCTTGGTTTTGTTAAATCAACAAAACAGAAGACTGACCATGTGGCAAGACTGACTTGGGGAGGTTGTTAAAGAAATTATTTGCAAAGCAATGTTTCCTGAGCACAAGAGACTGGCCTGACATGCATGAAATAATTATGTATTTTGCACCACAACTGTATTTTGTACTGTCAGCTGTATTATACATGTTACTATTACCTTCTTTTTTAAATATTTGGTTATGTTTTGGTTAATTGGAATAAAAATAATATACTGTTTTAATGTCTGTCAAATATTTTAATATTGTAATTTAGCTATACAGGTTAGCAAACATGAAAATTAATTAAAAAAAATTTTTTTTTTTTATTCCAATATTTGAAAGTGACAGTTGGATAAAATAATATTTTTATTCACAATTCAAAGAAATTAATGCATAATTAAATAAATGCATAATGATCCTCACTCGTATCATTTGGTGGTAGCAATGACACCTTAAGTTTTATGTCAAACACCACAGAAATTGGAGGGGGACTCTGGGAATATTGATATGCTCCCAGACAGGCTATAAAATAAAGTGCTGATTTGAGTTAATATTTTATTCCTGAATACATTTTGCATTAGGATAGAAAAGTGAGCAATTTGATTATTACATGCTTAGAATATGATGTTTTCATGTCAAAGTAAAGATTAACATTCTCCAGCACTAAAAAGAAATCAATTAAACCATATAACCCCAGAAAGCCATATTTGTTTTTTTATCATATATTCCTGTTAAAATGGAAGCTTTTTGAGAAAAAAAAAAAAAAAAAGTAAAATGTTTTCCCACTTTTAATGTAAAATTGAAACCAACATAAAATATTTTATGTTTGTTTACATGTTTGTAATGAATAAGTAACTTTTAAACACTTACTGAAAGTAATTATATTTCTCTGGTCATCATTTAAGTGAAAAAAAAACAAACAAACATGTTTCTGTAGGATTTTCTTAAAGGGGTCATATGATGCTGCTAAAAATAACATTATTTTGTGTATTTGGTGTAAAGAAATGTGTTTGTGAGGGATCTCAAAAAAAAAAAAAAAGGTAGTCAAGGTAGAAGAAATTACAGGTAGTGGCTTCAGAAAAAGTTTTTGGAATTGCTCAGTCAGAGCCCAGATCATTAGAAAGCCTGAATGATTTAAAATGAACTCTGACTGATGATTTGGAATGATTTGAAGAGGACTGACTGTACACTTAAGTGGTCAGATATTGGAAATGTAAACCAGGGACATTTAGCTCAGTGGTCAAAATATCATCTAAATCTCGCCTGCTATCTAAAAAAAAATAATATTTTTAAGCGTTTTGGGTTTCTATACTATTATAATTTTTGATTACTGTGATGTTTGCATTGTGGGTCAAACGACGTCAAATTGCACATTTTCAAGGGCACCCAAAACGTCTTCCGCTAGCAATCTTCCGGAGACATTTGCAATGGTGAGTAAAACGTGTTTCCAGTTTGTGTCGTATTTTAACTTCAAACAGTTTAGTTTGTATTGAATATAGCTGTTGTTTAAACATGTGGCTGATTAAGAAGTAAAATAAAAACTTTTTTTAAAGGGCTTTAAATGTGTTAGACAGAGTAGTTGTCTGGTTTATTAGCGTATCGCAGTCTTATAGATAGATTGAGGAAATATCTATCTTATAGATAGATTCTAACATATACAGTCTTTATTATAAATCTCTCCACCAGGGGGTGTGTCTTAACTTTAATTTACTTGACATTGTTATTCACGGTTTCATCTAAGTGCTCTGAGCCAGGGCAGAAAAGGCGCTGTTACCTCAATTTCCGTTGCTGAATTATATTCTGTATTTTCCAATTAAATCACAAATATTTTCATAAATTGGAAAAGTCCTGCATACGCTATATCTACGTTTTAACTTTAACGTTTAAAATGTCAGGTATGAATCGAGTTTGTTTCAAAGTAACTGCAGTTCAGAAGGTTAACCACAAGGTGTTGCCCGAACATCACGAATCTCCTGTTGAGTCTCTAAATCCAGATATTTAGTGTGATAGTTGACGAATAACACAGGTGTTATCGCAGGCAGGGGCGCCGCTAACAATTTTGGGCCCTATGAAAGAATATGAGGTTGGGCCCCCTACCGCAGCAAACATAGACCTACACTATATTGCCCAAAGTATTGGGACCCCCCCTTCTAATGAATAGGTTTGACTACTTTAGTGATTTGCACGAATACAAATCTTAATGTTGAAGCATATAATGATATTCTAAGGAATTGTGTGCTTTTAATTTTATACCAATAGTTTGGACAGGACCCTTTTCTATTCTATCACAACAATGCCTCTGTGTATAAGGCAAGGTTAAAAAAAGAAAGAAAAAAAGACTGATGCAGTCAGTGTGGAAGAACTGGACTGGTCTGCAGAAAGCCAAGTCCGAATCCCAGCTGAATACCTCTGGTGTGACTTTAAATACAGACCGTGAGTCAAAAACTCATCACCAAACACCAATGACTTGTACATACATATGGACAAAAGTATTGGGACACCCCCTTGTTTAGAACAGAAAAAGGCACTTCCAAAACTGTGGCCACAAAGATGAAAATATATAATTCATGTATTTAAAAATTGGATTTCCAGTTTTGGAAGTGTCTAAAGTGATTGTACGCATATGTAGGCCTACAAGTCATTGGTGTGTGGTGACGAGTCCTATCTAAGCATTCATATATAAGGTCCCTCAGTATTATCAGCAGTTTTCGCATTGCTCAATAGCTAATTACACTCCTCCATCCGATATCTGCAATACATTTATGTTGGTTCTGTTCTGTTTCTGGGGAGGTTTAATCGCTGCTCTCCCTGCTCTCATCCATGCTAGGCTGCATGGATGCGCAGGGAGTTCTTGCCCAGAACGGAACCATAACGCCAATCTTTGACGATAGTGGGCCTGACAGAATTAGTATTTCAAAAGATTTAAACAGACAAATTGTGTAATTGAAAGACTCATGTTTTTCAGTTATTTTAACTGAAGGGAGATGGCAGCGACACAGAAACTTGTTTTCGGTTACCTCCTCTGCCTACCATAAAGGAGATTATCAAGCTGTATAATCTGAGAGCAGAGAAACAGCTTTCTCAGAACTTCCTCCTAGACATGAGACTCACAGGTCAGTCCAACTATTGTTCATTCCATTTCGAAATGCATTAACAAGACTTGATAGATTTCAGTGAAGTCGCACACTGTTTATGTGTGTGTGTGTGTGTGTGTGTGTGTGTGTGTGTGTTTATGTAATGTGGGTGCTAAATGTAAACAGCAACAAAATCCTTGTGGATTTCAGATAAGATTGTCCGGCAGGCGGGGAACCTGAAGGGCGTACATGTGTGTGAGGTGGGACCTGGACCTGGGGGCCTCACCAGGTCTATTCTGAAAGCTGGAGCAGCAGACTTAGTGGTGGAGAAGGACACACGCTTTATTCCAGGATTGCAGGTTTACAAATAAATCCATGTATTCTATAGAGCGATAAATTGGCCATTTCAAATATTTGGCCGTTTTGAGATTGTCTTTGCTAGACTGCTAGCTGCTAGACTGGTAAGCAAAAGTGTTCATTACACTTATACTCATTTTCAAAATCTATAAACAGGCTAGTCAATGAATACTGCACTTTTTATGTTTTCAAATTTTTTTTAGTGAATTTTAAAGGAATGTAGTTTAAAACATTAATTTTGTGTTTAATGTTGTTGTGCTATCATTAACTTAATTAATTAATTTAATTAATATATATATATATATATATATAACATTTTAAATGTAATTTAAAAAATTACATCAGCTGAAAATAGCTATTTTCATTTCTAATTTGTAATAATATTTCACAGTATTGTGAGCTTTGGTGAGAATTCACCAAGAGACGTCCTTCGAAAACATAAAAAAAAAGAAGCTTAAATTCTAATTTACTATGTGTAAATATTTGTATGAGCATAAAAAGATTTAACAACTGAGACATAAACGGAACAATTTTCACAGACATTTGACAGACACAAATGAAAAAATTAGTACCTGAACAGAGCGGGGCTCAATATCAAAAGTAGCAGTCAGTATGTGGTGTGTCCACCAGCTGCTTTAAGTACTACAGTACATCTCATCTTAATGGACTGAGAAAAGTTTGCCAGTTCTTGCTGTGAGATTCACTCTTCCACCAAGGCACTTGCAAGTTCTTGTATGTGTGTGTTTGTCTGTTTCTAATTTTATATAATATAATTAGGCTGAGTAAGCATTTATATTGAAGTATTTGGGTCTTCTTTTGTTTGTTCAGCTTTTGTCTGAGGCTGCTCCTGGAAGAATGAGGATAGCACATTGAGATATTCTCACATACAGACTGGAAAGAGGGTTCCCAGCCCACATAGCCAAGACATGGGAAGATGGTAAACATTATAAGTGATCTCAAACACAGTTCAACAAATAACTAGTACTTCGACATGGAGCGATTTGTTTTATTGCACCCTTGACAAATACGAACAAAACACACTGTGGAAAAATTTGGATACTAGTGGATAATTTTAATAAAGTAAAGACTTATTCAAAAACAAATATTTTTCTGAAAAATAATTTTGTGACAGTTATTAGCACCTCTTAATTCAATACATTGTACAATTTAGGTTAGGTTAGGTTATGTTATTTATACCCACAGGTAAATTTGTTTTTGCAGTAAAATGATAGTGACAACCATCCTTGACACACAATTTTGTATTCGCTTGTTTTGTATACTGTGTGGAGACGTGCTGTTATCGCGTTTGGTCTCGTTCTGTATCGCGTATCTTGTCAGTGTCTGCGCTTGCTTGGCCATTTGTTGGAAAGAAAATAAGGAAAGTGTGTCCAGCTGAATTAATTTAGTATTTTGTTAGACGGGTATAAAAAAGCTTAGTTTACCGCGCCAGCCATCGCGTGACGGCCTTCTCGTGTGAAGACCGAAGAGTGTAAAGACCATCGACTCGTGCGACTCCACCGGGCAGGGACACCGGCAAAGGACAAGTATCGCTTTTTATTTCTCCTCTTTCCTACTACTTGTTTCACTTCTGTTTCAGTTTTTTATAACCATTTCTTACTATGTGTCAGTAAGTTGTTGTTATTTTAGCATGTGTGTTTGGCTCAGTGTTATTTTTTTAGGATTACTGATAAACTAATGTAGTTTGATTTGTATTAGTTATCTATTTCAGTTTTAGTTACAGTTGTAGTAATGTTGTCATTTTATTCGTTTTTTATTATGTCTATATAGGTTTTTTATTAAGTTTTAGTTTTATTTAATTTGAGTTATTTCAGTACTTCAACATACAAAATGGAAATGAAATAATATATCTCTCTTTTTTTGGGGGAAGTCGTGGCCTAATGGTTAGAGAGTCGGACTCGTAACCCAAGGTT